TTGCGATATTTCAGTTAGAATGTATCTTTTGGAAGTCTTGTTGAGATTTTGCTATAAGTTCTTTTTTAATTCCAGGCAGTCTCCTCCCTTCCAGATCCTGCCCTTTTATTCTTCCTCTCCTTTCCTGTTTTCAAAAGCTTTTAATTATCCAGAAATCTTTATTATCCCTTTGACTTTTTATTTTCAGCATTAAATGCCTATTGATGTCAAAGTGGATTTTTTTCCAATTTCTTGCTTAAGTCTCTTAGCTGTCAGTATAGGAAAAGGAGAAAACCAAATCCTTTCCCTTTTCTCTCTCCTTCACAGCTTAAAAATCTTCTTAGGGAACAATGTTATTGTTTTTTAAGTTTCAATTCCAGGGTACCTTATTTGTTGCTTTTGCTGTTTGACCCAGTCAACCAAAACTTTCACTTCTTATCTTCCTCCTGCACATTCTTTTCCGGTCGAGTTCTTCTTTGTGGTGGCCATTTCTGACCACCGCTGCAACCGCCTTTGGGAAAGGGAGTAATGGCCAGCTGGGGAGGAGAGATGCGGCTCTCCTCAACCCTGCTGCCAGTCTCCCCCCTCTTTACCACCTCTACGGGGTGGCTTAGCTCTGAAACCAGCCGGCTCGGGGCGCTCCAGCGGCGCACGCGGATCGAAACCTCACAGAGACGAGGTTTCAGTCTGTCGCTGAAGAAGCTCAAACCGGAAGTCCCTTGTAACCAGATTATTAACCAAGCTTTATAGTCACTAAAAGCACATCTGTTTTCAAAGGCAATTATTATTACTGTAGTTATTCAGACATAATATTATTAAAGCAGGATCACTGACATCAGTTATCTGTAGATGACCAGGCTGAGCCCAAGGGTGAGGTCAAACACATCATCAGTTTGGAGTCTTTATACTCCTACAAGAGACTTAAATCCAATCCCCCTTGAATTCTGTTGACTCTTATGTAGGCCCAACTTATCTTGATTATTAGATCAGATTATTGTGTATAGATAGAGCATGTAATAAACTTTAAGTACTTTGAACTAACTCTTCCTGGTTACTTGCACCTGACAGTATCCCAATTGAGGAAAAGCACATTGCTAGCAAACTAGAAATAAGTTTCTTAGCACTGTGGCCAACAACAAAGATATATCTAGGTACATGCTAAAATACAAATGTGACAATTCATAGGGACAGATTATCTGTTCACATTCTGGAATAAGGATATGTCTAATAAAGCCCTTCTATTTTGTCAGAATCCATTTTCAGTTGCATGGTGAAGTGATGTGCTAATATACTTATGGTACAATAACTGACACTTAAGTAGGCATATACAGTGGATTGTGTTTCCTATGTAAGAAGTTTTGTTCCACTACCCCAAAATGCAAGTTCTTGCTGAAATCTTTATGTTACCATTTTCTATACATTTAATGTGGAATAAATAATCTGATTGTAAGACGCCATATTAAGAAGTTGTGCAGCCTACTAAATTAAAAACTTCCCAGTTTAATTCTCTAGAAAAAAATCTAGACTACCTGCTAATTGCAGAAAACATAGACAAAAAGTACTGCATGATTAAAGAAATATTAGAACCAGAACTATTAAGAACAGAACATTTAAGAAAACATAATTTTTCATGTGTATATGAATGGCAATATGCATTGCTCCCAACTGAAACTAGATTTGTATTTCCCAAATTCAACATTCCTAGGAATAATGTTGAGAAAGACAAATGATTGTCAATGTAAACAATAGAGTTCATAAATAATGACAGAAAATGGAGAGGGAATTTGTGGTAGGTGTTGGCCTAGAAACCAGGAGACAGCAAGTTCTATTCCCATTTTAGGTGTGAAAACTAGCTGGGTGATGTTGGGCCCCCCATTCTTCCTAAATCCAACCCACCTCACAGGGTTGTTACTGTGGAGAAAAGAGGAGGAAGAAATATTATGTAAATTTGCTGCCTTGATTTAAAGTAATAAAAGTAGGATTAGAATTAGAATTAGAATAATAGAGTTGAAAGGGACCTTGGAGGTCTTCTAACCCAACCCCTGCTTAGGCAGGAAATCCTACACCACTTCGGACAAATGGTTATCCAATCTCTTCTTAAAAACTTCCAGTGTTGGAGCATTCACAACTTCTGGAGGATAAAAATCTCATAAATATATAAATACTACAATAAGTTAGACAATTCAAACTTCTACCTGTACATACATGAATTATCAAGTAACATGCATGCTTGAAGCCCAGTAGACATGTTGGAGTTTTCTTTTAAAAAATAGCATAGTGGGATGCAATATTGGGTCATGGAGATCATGAAATGAATAAAATTATTGCTTAAAGTGAGACACTTAAAATACTTGCGGATTTGATGAATTACTGTCACTAATACATTATGAACTAAATACTTGATACTTCATGATTTATTTATTCATCTGATTTATTTAAAATATTTATACAGCTGCCCATCTTGAACCAAACTCTGGATAGCTCACAAATCAAATTATGCACAAATGTCTTGCAGGAATAGCAAAACTCATTTACACTTAGATGGGCCATTTTAAACATGATACTAACATAAGAACTTTGTAAATACACTATTCAACACACTTTTTGATTAAATAAGCAGTCTCAAAAATTGTGTGGCATGTTATCCATAGATTATATAACACAGTAGCCAGAGAATAATATATTAAATAAATGACCATGGGATCCATCTGCAAAAATATGCCAATTAATGTAATTTAAATAAATCAATAATTTGTAAATTGCTATATATTTAAATAATTTGTAAATTGCTATATATTTAAATATTTTTATCTACTGATTTTTTAAAGAAGGCATATGTCTTCCTCTGTCTTGTATACAGGCTACTGCAGCTACCTCTGCTGCAGATAACACAGCAGGAGGGAGATAAAATATCTTTGTTAAGGAGTAAAGGTACAATTCCTAGCCTAATCTAACATTTTGCATGTTAAAGTGCTAAGTAAAATGTTAAAATTTAGAGCAGTTAAAGACACTGTAGATAAACACATGAAATGATTAATGATCATAATGCAAACATTTACAATAAGTACAATAAGTACAAGACATATATAGAAAGGTCATATGCTCTTTTGGCTAATTTAAATACATTAATTAGAAAATAATTGTTTACAATTACACTTGTTTCCAGATAATATGCCTAGGAGTATATTACAGTGAAAGAAAACATCATGAAGTATATAAAAACATGTTAGATGTTTATTACAAATTTGGAAATACAAATTTAGCAGAGATGCAACATTATTAGTTCTTGTTACATAAATTTAAACTAACAGCAATTTTCTTATTGGTCTAGTTGCCAACTATTCTAATGTCAGGAACTAATTATGTGTGAAAGCATATAATAAAATATATACAAGTTACTTAGAATATGCTCCTATATATGTTTATGCAGAATTAAACTCCATTGATTCAACTAAAACTTGCAGGTAATATTTTAGTTTAACTGCACAGAACCGAAGTAGCTGTCTCTACAGTCAAATACATATTGGATGTATGCCAATTACTGTATCACATTATCCATAATGAATTTACAGAAAAACACTAAAGAATGGTTTTTCTGCAAGAACTAACCCCTTCTTTAAAAAAAGCCTTACTGTACTTATTTTCTCAATACAGCAACCATTAATTGACAATACCATCTCACGCATACCTATTTCAGAAGCCTGAACACTACTACATTCACGTAAATGGTAGAGTTGCACCTTTCTACCGTCGCAGACAAACGCATAACCCAGCAGGGAAGCCGCATCTGCAGGAGCAAGCCGGGTGCATTCTGAACTAGGGCTCGTCAGAACGGTAGCAAAGCGTGAACAATGCAACCGCAATAAAGACTGGAGCCTAAGCACCGCTGCAAGACCTGTTCGGTGCCCGCTTTATTTATTTATTTTTAAGGTGCTCCAGGACCTCCTCTCCCACTCTGGCTGCATCTGAATTTCGGGCTCTGCCCCTTTAAAATTAATTTCCCACCGAACGCCAGCAGAGGGAGATTGAGACCGTCTCGCCACTTCCATCGTGACTCTTGTTTTTGTTAAATGGGGGGTATTTAAATGTCGTGCTGTCAATCAAAGAGCACTTCCCCTGAAAGCCGCGACAGCAGCGAGGGCTTCCTCGGCTAAATACTCTCCGAAAAACTGCCTCTCCTGCCAAAACTTCAGCGCCGACGCCCGCCAGCGACGGGTTCCAGCCCGGTAGTCGGAAGATCAAAGCCGAAAGGAGACACAAGAAGTCCCCCGCGTCACCAGCGAGGCAGCCCTGAAACTTGTTCCTTTGTTTCAAGGTCCGTGGATACCACCACTACCCCGCGCTCCCTTCTCCAGGCAGAAGCGACCCAGCCTTTTGAAGCGTCGCGGCGCTCGCATTTGGGAGGGCGCTTCTCTCTCCCGCGGGACGCGCCCACGCAAAAAAAGACACGCGCCTCCGCGGAGGACAAGGTCCCGCGTCCGAAAGACCCCAGAAGCCCACGAAACTCGGGCACCGTGAGCTCAGAAGTCCCCTCGAAGCCCACACACCTAGGTAGCGGAGGACGGAGGCACTAACCCTAACCTCGCTACTCGTTACTCACGCACAAAAGACACGAGAACACAGTCACGGCTCCCCAGCGTTGTTACGTGAAACTGAATGAGGGCACCTAACTTTTCCGCACCCTCTCAAACTCCACCGAAAGCCCCACCGAAAGCTCTTCGCTAACCTCAGTTCCGGAGTCCTTATATAACTCCACACCGAAGGGGGGGGGGCTGGGGGAAAGAGAGACAAGAGAACAGGAGGGCGACCGCTGCTTAAACGCCACTGCTTCCTGGTTAGCTGAAAAGCCCCGAGCCGCCTCTTTCCTCATTGTCCTCCGTTGTTCGTTGTTTCCTTCCCCCTCAGCGCACACCGAAGGTCTCCCTCTCACGAGAAAGTGGAAGGGACAGTGTTTTTGTTTTTTGTTTTCGTCGTCTCCCCCGAAAATAAAAGGACGCGTGGCTGCCAGCCAGACCCTTTACCTGCCATGGAACCAGTCCTTGCATATGTCGCACTCGATCATGAAGCGGTTCACATCGTAGGGTTCCCGGCACACGCAATACACAGGGGTCGCGTTCGCCGCCGCCGTTCCGGCCATCTTTAAAGAACTCGCTCACTCTCTTGAGTGACTGCCCCAGCCCCCCTGCCCCCCCTTCTCGCCCCCCCCCCCCCCCGCCTTCTCCTCCCCCTCCCCACCGCCACCACGAGCCCCAACCAACAGCCGCCGCCGGCCCAGCCAGTCAAGACGGCAGCACCAATAACAACAGCGCGCGTGCGGAACGCCGGCCCTTGACGCGCGCGCGCGCGCCCTCCCGCGCGCGCCCTAATCTCCCACATTGAGAGAGAGAGAGAGATCGCGCCCGCCCCTTCTTCCTGGCCAGCGAACAAACGGGCGAGGGCACGCGCGATGAAAAGGAACCGTCACGTAAGGTACATCTTGGAGCATGCGCTCTAAAGAGACTATACAGCGGTGGAGAAAATGACACTGACGGGGAACGCGGATCCCGGCGGGGCGGGAGGGAAGAGCCGCAGAGGGAGAGATCCTAGGGAAACACCTCGGAAACGTAGAAGGGTTTGTGCGTCTCTTTTGGCTCGAAGAGACGCGCGCGCGAAGAAAAGCAGAGGAAGCGCGGGGGGGGGGGGTTGCGTGAATGAAGGGGCGCGCGCATCGTTGCCGGAAGTATGTACAGTAAACTCTTTTTTCGGACTTGAACAGACAGCAGAGGAAAGCACGTGTCACCACACCACCCTCCCTTCTGGTTTTTTTTGGGGGGGGTGGGTGGGCGGGGCTCCAGCTCGTTGGAACAAACGGATAATGAAGTCTCGAGCACATGCTGGCTCCGCCCCATTCCGCCTAGTCCTGCTTGAAAGTCGTCACGTGATGAGGGAAGGAAGGTGCCGCGAGGACATAGAACGTTGAAAAAAAACAAAACAAAAAAAAGCAGGCTCTGTCACCGCGTCGGTCGCTCGGTCCCTCCCTCCCTCTTATGCAACCGTGCGAGGACGGGCGTAAGGGAGCGCCATACCGAAACTGCGCTCTTGACTTTGTCTCTCGGGTCTCGGGAGGCTGAAAGATCTCTGACAGCAATAGCTGAGCGAGCATGTCTCCCGCCTCGGTGACTGATCGCTCAAAACTGAGCCGAAAGACAACCGCTCACTGGGTTGTAAATAAGATTCCGCTGGTGTGTGGCGGGCTGCCTTCCAGCCAAACGTCGTTTTTAAAAACAAAAACAAAAACAAGACAAAACACTGCATTACATTTTGGTCCGTCCGTTCACTTTCACTGCCCCTTAAGATATGTCGTTACACAATTTGGATGGGGTTTCCCCATCTCGTCAGTATTTTTAAGGCACTCTGGAGATGATGATGCTTAATTTTGAACGCCTCGATGATAAATTTGCCCTTGTAGTTTTATGCGGCGATCTCTTGGCAGGTGAGGGGATTCGGTACCCCAAGCGCAGACTGATGACTCGAAGCATTAGATAAAAGGGAGGGGGTGAGATTTACAATTTCCATTCAATCTTTATTTATTTTTTCCTGTTTAGTGCATATTGGGGGTGGAGACCCTTTGAGATGCAATGAAATTTTAATGTATGCCGATTAGTGTGCATTGAGAGTGACAGTTATTTTTAGTTCTATGTTCTATCTTGTACTACAGAGTCAAAGGGATACCTTGTCTGAGCTTTTTAGAAATATATTCTGAAAAAAGAATGGAGGTACTACTAATCCACCACATATTATTATGAAGTGATTATATATATAAAAGCAAAATACCACTCATGCATCATCACAAAATCTCCAGAACCGTAAAGCCTACAAACTTGAAATTTGGCACTTATGTTCCTCTTGGCTTCTAGGTGCTCACTAAGAAAGGATTTTTCAAAATGACCATCAGAGCATGAGTATTTCGTATATTATTATTAACACACTCTGATGCTAAGGAGTTCTACTCCCCCTCCCCACCTGAAAAGAAATCTGTTCCAAATGCAAAACACAAGCAGAGGAGAGGAGTTTCAGTTTTAGTTTCACAGCACCAAGCAGCTTTAACAAAACAGTTGAGCTAAGCCACGCTCAGGCTCCTTGCTGTCTCCTTGCTCACGCAGCAAATACTGTTTCAGTTTCCAAACAGCCTCACACTGACAGGATGCTAGCCAGATGAATACCAATGGATGCTGGTAAGCAGAGGCAGAAATTTTTTCCCCCTTATTTTCCTCCCCAAAAACTAAGCCTCACTACATAGTTCTGTAGCAAAGCACGGGTATCGAGCTAGTTTAAGTATAAATACCAATGCTTTAGAATAAGGGACAATTGTTATTCGGGACAATCTAATAATTTTAAAGTCCTTAACACTTTTAGGCCTATAGATTTCAGTGAGATTTAAATATCTTTGCAAATAAAGTCTCTTTATTTTACATATTTTACAATGAATGAATGCAGTGGTGGGGTTCAATTTTTTTTACTACCGGTTCTGTGGGCGTGGCTTGGCAGGGGAAGGATAAAATCTCCAGTCAGAGGTGGTATTTGCTGGTACTCCAAATTACTCAAAATTTCCGCTACCGGTTCTCCAGAACTGGTCAGAACCTGCTGAATACCACCTCTGAATGAATGCACTGTGAACATGAATAGAAGGAGATACTCCTTTAAATTAAAGCAAAGAACTTTCATAAAAAGTTAAAAATAATGCTTTGGGAAACTTTGAATGTCATAAATGAGCTACTGTCCAGCTTGGCGATCAGTCCTGCTTACCAGCATTGAAATTTCAATAGTAAAAGCATAGAAAGTTGGGCTAACGTAGATCTCTCAATGTGATAACTGTTCAAAATGTAAATCCAAGAACGAACTTACATTAGTGCTATCATAACAATGCTGCAAAAATCCAGATGACCAATAGATAGTTATCAAAAACTTTCTGCATATCTTTGCTGCTATGTATCTGGATTTTTTGCAGCACAAATACAGAAACCCTGGACTAAAGTTACAAGGAAATTATTTGAAGATAGAACACCACCAAGCTTTATATCCAGCTAAACAGTATGAATATTCAGTGGACAAAGTGGCTAATATATCTTTGTAGCTTATTTTGTTGGACATACTTCTTTGTTCTAGAAATGACTATAATGCCTGCAAATATTATAAGTTTCATCGATGAAATAGCTTCAAATTTCCTAAAGCTCTCAAGCTATCACCTTGTCTTATTTTTAAAGGAAAAGTTATTGATTCTCCCACTCAGGATTCAGGAGCAGAAAAAGAAAACTCAAGAGTTCTCACAAATATCAACATCTTAATCTGTGAGCTCTGAAGGAGGGAGGGTTGCACTGTTGAGACCACAACCTGCAGAGTATTTGATTCCTAAAGTTTATTTAAAGTGGCTTGTTGTTCAGTGAAATGATGGCTCTTGCACTTGTAGTATTATTCAGTTAAGAAAAAACAACCTCTAACAGTGTTCTGCCATTTTAGATGATGACTGACAGCCTGCCTCTGAGACCAGTCCTCTCTTTGCAATGTGACAAGTCCCAGCTGCAAGGAACTCACCATCTCATAAACCAAAACCTGCTGTTCAATAAGGCCAGCTGCAATCTGCTCCATTTTATGGTAATTAAAAATAGCATTTGTGCACCTGGTAGGCTGCCAGTGCAGCTGCTGCAGATATGTACTAAATTTGAATGCCTAGATGCCATACATATCATCCTTTGGTTCATCTGGAATATGCAATAGAGCAAATGTCTCTGGCTACCATTTACAAATTGTGTCAAGTTCTGTAATAAGTGATTTTGTAGTAGAAATTTTAGTGGAAATTCAAAATGGTTATATTTTTATTCTGAGGAATATGCTGTGAATTTATTTTTGTGTAAATGTTGGATCTCGCTATCTTTTGCATGAGTTGTGTTTCAGGTTTTGAAAATCAAGTTCACTGAATTCCATTGGGTTGAACTCCATGGGATAAGCATATAGCCTTTGTGTATCATTTCTTTAGCCTTAGTTATTAGAATAAACTAATTTTCCAGACAAATATATTTCTTTATTCCTTTTGACTCTTACTAGTAGTTGTTCATTGCCTAATTTTTTTTATCATCCGATGACTTGCCTCATTTCTAATTAAGCAAATGTTGCATGTTTCATAATACTACAAAAACTTGTAAAACCTGTGAACAATGATGATACATAGATGAATATTCTACCCATAGGCATGATTGACTGTATTGTATCAGCACATCTAAATAAGCTGTTGCTCACATTTACATGTCTACTATTATAATAAGATGGCTAACAAATGAAACACATTGTAGCTTCTGTCAGCAGCAGGAGTACCACGTATTCCATCTATGGTTTATCATCCTTAAGCATGTCATCTGAACACAACAAACTCTAATTCTGGCGTGGCTTATTAACGATCAATTAATGTCCCATAAACCAAAAGTAGCACACATCCTGTGTTTGAATTAAGTTTAATCTTTAGAATTCATTAAGAGATCAAGGAAGGAAGCAATGCTATTTGACAGGAAATTCAGCATGCCTAGAAGAAACAATCAGACTAAGCAATGCAAGCAGGTGCCCCACATGAATATTTTCTCTATTATTATTCTTTGCGTCTACTAGGGTCTCCCATCTTTCCAGTCTCTTCATTGAAAGGTGTTTTTTGGTCTCAGATGTTGAACTAGTTTTTCAGTATGTCCTTCTGGTGTTTTGTAAACAACATAGCAATTAGTTACTAAGCCAAGTTCAAAATGCTTTTGCTGTATAAGCCTCTAGATACCTTGAGATAATAATACCTGTCACCTTAGTTGCAAAGCTAAAACATCAGTTGATTTTTAAGATAATAAGATGGTACCTTGCTTGTGTGTCCAACTGATATAATCTTGTGATCAGTTCACTGGTGGGATTCCATTTTTTTTACTACCAAAGGATACTGTAAAATCTCCAGTCAGAGATTTGCTGGTTCTCTGAACTACTCAAAATTTCCACTACCGGTTTTCCAGAACTGGTCAGAACCTGCTGAATGTCACCTCTGGATCAGTTATACAGTAGGTGGACCTTGTGATCATTGGTAGGTGTTACCTCAGCTGGCATTGTCACAGTTTGGCACCTGTTCTCTGGAATGCACTCTGTTCTGAAATCCATGCAGCACCATTATTTTACAAAACTGTTGACAATTT